ATCGTGATACTTATCCTCGTCTTTTCTCCGGCACTCGTACGCCTCGTCTCTCTCTCTCTCTCCCTCTATTTCATTCGATTGACTTGCCTACTCAGACGCTTTCCGTCACCAACACCACCACGGTCGTTCTTTGTACATAGATATGTATTTGTGAACTGTTTCTCCAGTGTGACCTTGGTGGAACGAATCAGTGTGATTAATTGGTTGGAAAGATCCCCCCATTCCCGACTCCTGACAAACATGCGCAGTCTCAATTCACATGTTTGCACCCGGAAAATTGCCCATCCGTACGCTGGCGGTCCCGTTTCATTTTGTTTCTTTTTTTGTCTACGTTATGACAGTTCCTGGTCTTATTTATGAACACAAACAAAAAGAGTGACTATTTGCACAGTTTTAGTTTTGTTTAGCTCCCGAGGATCTTATGGACCACGAAATTGTTTTCACTGGAAACCAAAAGGACTGATTCTGTCTCGAATGGAACGCTCTTTGCGATGATTGGCCGTTACCTCTGACCAATCATCCCGAATTCTTTAAAGACACCGTCAATGTGCTGGAACCGCTGTCTACATATCGTTGTTGGGCTCATCGGAACGCTTTATCTCTAGATTTCGATGAGTAAAATGTGGGTTACGAACGTCTCCGGATAGGCTCGTTTGGCACTTGATTTTTATTCGAATGCAACTAGTGGCTGTGAGAAGATCAGGGGTTGCCAAGCCATTAAATATTCTGAAGCAATGAAATCGTAGGGGTGGTGGTGGCGCAGTGGTTTAGTTGCTGTCACCGGCGTGCTTTGGACCCTGTGGTCCGAGTTTTGAGCTCTGCCACCCAGTTTTTGTGGTAGGCAGCTTTGCTGTCACCGGTTCTATACCATGCCTGGGCCAACGAGGCCTTATTTGGTTCGCCACTCCAATCCCCGCGGATTAGTTTGCCGGTTACCATCGCTGAGCAGCAGGTCTTGGTGACTATGGGGTCCATCCCGACTGCGGTTCGTCACACACCGGTGTGTAGTGAAAAAAGGTGCTAGGGTACCCGGTCGAGGATATCAGGCTCAAACTGGCCAATAGTTATTTACATTGCATGACTTTAGTGTTCACTATGAACGGTGACGCTCCAGCAACTGCTGATTCTCTACATATCTTCAGCGTTTCGATCTCACACTGTTATCAATCTGTAAGTCAAACCGGTAACCTCAGGACAGCAAACAGGACCGGATCAGTGATCTACGGGGTTATTTTTTGAGCACACAATGGGTAGCGTTTAAGTATCACATGATCAAACACTGTCGCTTTGAACGTCATCTCTCTGTTGCATGGTGATCTTGGTTTCGCCCATGTTTGCCCTGATGCCACATGCACGTATGCATCACAACCATTAGTCGCGAGAATCGCGTATTTTGTTTACACTCTTAGATTGTGTTAGGGATTCGTACCAAGAGCTCGGTGGGACACCTTTATTGGAGGTGAATAGTGTTTGCCTTTGTACCTTGATGGTATCAAATATCCCGCGGAAAATTTATTGCATTCTCTTCGGTGTTTGGATCACATCGCCGTTTTGAAGGATATTGACAGTTAGAGTGACAAGCCGAAATACAAAATTTCAACAAATTATCTTTGACGGGAATGAAAATTTATTACTAGAAATTGTCATTACGGCAGAAAAATTGCATTCCCGTGAAATCCACACACATCTAACATGATTCAAAAGATGGGCGTACAGGTCACCTCGCGTTTGTAGTTGAGAACACGACAACTGGTGATTACGTGGTCAACACAATGATATCAGCTCAGTTCATAGCGATAGTGGCCATATGCTCACGTCACTCTCCGTGACGTATCATGAAATCAATGTCAGCCAGGTGGTAGCAATGATTCGGGTTCACTGTGACACGCTATGTGAAGAAGAAAGAACCACAAAACCAAAACGAATGGGACACCGGAAAAAGCTCTCTCTCGAAGAAGAAGAAGATAGGCGTAGATAGTTAGGTATGGCCTTAAACTCCGCGAATTATGCATCGAGGATAAATACGGTGTTTGAGTGAAAAGTTTCAATGTGAACAATACTGGATGAAATACAAAAATGCGAAGGTTCATGGTTTTATCAATGTTACAAACAGAGCCGGAACTATCCCTGAACAGCAGGTTTTCGTGGCTATGGGGATCCGCCCCGTTTGTTGTTCATCACACACTATCGTGTGATAAAAAAATGAGTAGAATTTTGTCCATTTTAGCCATAAAACGAAATTCATTTTAGGTGGAACAATGCGTTGAACTACCAGTATTGTAGTCTGCAAAGAGAAGAACAGGCAGCTTAAAGAGAGACGCTTCCTGATGGTATGGGGCGCCTCGAATGACGACCCAACAGAATTCGCTGTACTATTTGAGGTGCAAGATTTGTACGCATACATCCGCCTGTTAAATGGTAACACTCAATCCATTTTCTAGCACGATTATATTGTGGTTTAAAACTTTTGCCATTTCGTGGAATCAAAGCCGTAAAGTGGCGTCATTGGTTGCTACCTACAATGATATCAAGGATGATATGATTCGAATTCTCCTGCATAATCTGTCGAGAAGTGTCTGCAAGTTTCGAAATACACTCGCCGATGAACCTGGGATTAAGGGAGCACCATCCGTTTTATCGTGGGGTCCCCGCCTTTGACATGGTATGATGGCTTGCATACCTCCATGACCCTGCGATCTACACATGATGATTCTTCATAGCCGCAGATCCAGTCATGCCTGAAAGGTCATTAGGCAGTCGCACAAGGCCAGCTGATTGGGCACCTGGCTTCCTTTGACTATTCACTATCGCCGTGGAGAGGTCACTCCAGTAAATGATGAGATGAGGGCTAGTTCATCGGTCATAAAGCTCCTGCTGAATGGACGTAGGAGCGGGGAACATAGGGCTTCCTCTGGACGGTAGGAGAGGTCTTCGCGCTTCGTTGGACAGCTACCGCTTGCCCAAGCTGGGCAGCCCCCAGCCAATGAGGTGCTATCCCTTCTACATTCCGCTTGTTTCATTGGGTGCATGAGACTACGGACTAAACCCGAACAGCGGACCGACTGTCAATGCGCTGAACTGAAATCCGAAGACCTTGCGTGACAAGTCTTTAGCGGTTCCCACACGGGCGCTTCGTTCACGCTTCTGCGTTGGATCTGTGTCCCATTACCTTGTGGGTCACACTTTTGAGTCAAAGGCTCCGGTTAGGGTTCCTCAAGAAAAACCCACGAAATCCCGTTACCTCGTGATTCAGACTTTTGAGTCAAAAGCTCCGGTTAGGGTTCTCAAAGAAAATCCCTTTCGTCAATGTGGGCTACCGCGGAAATTTTCATGCCCTAAAGTCTTAGGCACCCATTTGGAAAAACCTCTTTTTAGTGTCCTCCCATCGGATACCACCCAGCTTTTCACCCGTAAGGCTAAACAGTCAGAAGTTATAGGATTTTTTGTCATATCGAAGCATGCACTGACCGATTGTAGTACACATGAAATCAAGGATGAATTCTACAAGGATTTTTCTCAAATACTGCAAAGTTTTCGATCAGTTCAGTTCTAATAACCACTGACCATGCACTTTCGTGCACCGATTTTGGCTGCCCATTTGGATGAACAGTAAGTAGGAGAAACACGGGAAAGTTGAAAGTAGAATCGAATAGAAAATCGGAAATTTCATTGGAATACCTTTTCGATCAACGGACGTCATATTAGTCGCCGGAGACTTCATTGCGTAAGTGATCGATTCAGAAAGACCTCTTGGCGGACCACATGCAATACCAACCAACTGGACGGATAACGGAGGTCTCCTACATCAACTTTACCCAGATCACAGATTGTTCCTGTCTCTCACCACCCTACCTGGAAACCGCCAACCACTTAACAACGATGAACCCAAATCGACCACATCGACATATTAACACTGGATGGAGTCACCCTCATTGTTCGACACCTGTGGATACGGACCACGCTTTCTTACGAGCCAAATTCTCCTTATACCTGGCAAGCAACAAAAATGAAGCTGGCAC